TTACTTTTATGAGAAAACCTGTGTTTTGTCCATAAAAATAAATGCATGTGAAGCATGGGTAATGGGTTTTACAACTCATGAGACACAGATAAAAAAGGTGATAAACCAAAAGCCATCTATTATACCCTTGTAACAGAGTTTTTCAACCTCAGCACTATTGACATTTGGGGACAGATAATTCTTTGTTGTGGAGGATGGCTGTCCTGTGCTTTGTAGGATGTTAAGCAGCATCTCTAGCACCTGCCCACTAGATGCCTGTAACACACACACACACACACACACACACACACACACACCCTAGTTGTGGCAACCAAAACCGCCTCCAGGAATTCAATCATTAAATGCACCCATGGGGCCAAAGTCTCCCCTGGCTGAGAACCACAGATGAAGTGCCAAGTTGCAAAAATAGGTTAATTTATTTCTCTACAATTAGAAATATATGTTTTGCACGCACACAGGTATTTGGGGTTTTAACATGTGTTAAAGAATCTCTTGTAATGAAAAGAATTTGTTTGCAGTGCCAACGGCAAAGTAGAAAAGCAACATGACAGACAAAATTATATCCCAAAGCTTCATGCTGTATTATGAAATAGGTAACATGAAGAATCCTAAAGTCACATTTATATTCAGCAAAGATAAAAATACAATTAGATGTGTGCAGTGACCTTAATTTATGGATGTTTTCCTTATATTCTATAACTTCAGATAATCCTCTCAGCAGAGTTCAGAGCTTAAACAACTCTAAAATTTGACCTTAGTTATCTATCACACCATATAACAGGACATCATATCACCATACTTTGTAATTCAGTACCATAGTTTAAGGAAAAAGAATGCCAGCAGGCTGTCTGGACTAATGATATTAAAATGCTGAATATATGTGATTCTTTGAAAGTCAACTGGCATCTTTCCATTGCATTCCAAAGGAATAAGAAAAAATTATTTGGTGAAATCAGGAATGATATTAATACCAGAGACCCTAAGGTCCTCTATAACCTTATTAACTTGGTAATATGAGTAATAATTACTCAGCAAGGAAAGAAAGCTAAAATGTATTTGGGGGGGATAGGTTGTAATTAATTGATTAAGTTGCCACTGATTTCATTTGCTGGCGATTCCTTCAAATTTAAATACTCAAACACTTCTTTTTTATGTATATACATTAACTTCATGGGGAAAAATTTATAGCTGCATTTCACTTTATATTCCATTTTAGATGCAGATAGTTGGATTGGATAAATTTAAAATGTAATTGAATGACTAAAGAATAAAAACACCCTTTTCTGGCTTGGAATAGTTCAATCTATCATTACAATATTAAAAAATGAAGTTTTTTTTAAAAAAATGTTAATGGGATTAGAAATTTATCTTACTATTTTATGCTACCCTCTCTCCTCCAGTTCACTTGCCAGAAGAATTTCAAATGCAATTCTCCTGAAATCTACAGATTTAATAGGCTAACAGCCGTTATCATTCTTGTTACTAAGTGATTCTATTTAGTCTACATCTTAAAAAGTCTTTTTGTTGTGCTGTTTTTGCAGAATGTCTTGATGTTTACAGAAAAAAAAATCCGATGACATGGTAACTAGAAGAGAAGAGCAAGCTGGACTGATTTCTGCAGGAGTTTCCCAAGTATTGTTTTCCCCTTTCGAGATTCAAATTAAAACAAAAACATTCTATATTTCTAATGAAAAAATGAACAATAACTTCTGGAATTTGTGCTAAGCCAAATGAACTCATTACTGTGTTATGAAACAGTTTAACACACTTTGATCAAATAATAACTTTGCAAATACAAAGATGCTATCATAATATCATCACATAGTTAACATGATTGGCCTATGCTAATAGGTACTAGGACATAAACAATGTCAAAGCATTAGGATATTTAAAGAAAAGCCAAATATCTTTAATATTCCCCAGAAATGGCATTGTCTCAACTCTTTTCTACATATGTATAAATACCCTAAATGCAACTTACAAATTTATTCTTATTCTTTTGTGAAGTTAGTTAAAATTTAATGAACAAGAAATTAAACAAAAGCTGCTGTAATAAAGTTAGAATATTCTAACTGAAAAACAATTACAATGAAACTATTTACATTCCCATAAACTTATAAACATTTTTCAAGGGCTATTCTGCAATACAATTTTTAAACATGTTTCTTATTATGATTCTTGAGACTTAAACACTGCAGGTTTATTTCACATTTTAAAAAGACATTTGAGCAAGAGTTTTACTTTCTCAAAGGACCCTGTGCTTTAAAGTAACATGTTGAATGTTTAGCTTTTTCTCCAAACATATTTTATGCTTCATCTTTCAACTAAGAGGATTAATTTTCAACTATATGTAATTGACAGAAAATCGTGTTGAAATGGTGAAAAGAAAGTGAAAGTCGCTCAGTTGTGTCCAACTCTTTGAGACCCCATGGAATTCTCCAGGCCAGAATGCTGGAGTGGGTAGCCTTTCCCTTCTCCAGGGGATCTTCCCAACCCAGAGATTGAACCCAGGTCTCCCGCATTGTGGGCAGATTCTTTACCAGCTGAGCTATCAGGGAAGCCCATTGAAATGGTGATATTAATTAATTCTGGGAATTTACCAGTCAGATTTCAGATATATACAGCTCTTAGTACAGAGCTGGAAAAACAATAACAGTTTGTAAGTATGCTCACTGCTTTTCCACTGTTTTAAACCTCCTCTCAAAATTATATTCATAATTCACAGAAGTGAAAGCAATTAGCTTAACTCTTCTCCTGAAAGAGACAGCATTTTTGAAAGAAAAAAAAAGTTACCTTCCTAGTTTTAGATATTTAATCCAACGAAAACTCTAGGAGCCAACTTTAGGGTTTTCACTAAAAAAAAAAAAAAAAAAAGAATTCCCTCTGTAGCAGCTGGCTCAAGCCTGACTAACTGGAACTGTGTGGACACTGCAGTGGCTCTCAGTTCACTAGGGAAGAAAGAACTAGACATTCCACAGCTGCCTGCTCCAGCTTCTTCCCAGGGGTACAGTTGCAGTCTCTATCACACTCAATCACTCCGTACAGCCACCAGGCAGGGGCAAGGAATCCTAGAGCAGCTTAGACTTCTTCTAGTACCACGGCAAGAAGTAAGACTACTTCAAAAGTAACCTGTTATTTCCAATGATTGTGTGGCCCCAGGCCAACAAAAAAAATGTGATGAAGACCATCTGCAGTGAGGGAAAATAAAAGATGTTTCATATTTTTAGGATTTCAAGCTACTTACAGGTGATCTTCCTGTGATCTTTAGCATGAAAATGCTATAAATGTGTGTCCTTTATTCCTGACCAATTTTTTATTTGAGGTGTGGGGAGAGCATGATGAACTTGAGGAAACCCAGAACTTAACTGACAGTCATTGCGGCATTTGTAATGAGACCCACTCACTGCAGGGTTTTAAAGAATGAAGTATATATGACAATAGTATCATGTTTAAAGGTACAAGTCTTCCATTTTATGTCAGTACACATTCTCACTAGCTTTTCTGAACCTTTTAAAGACTAATATGACAGTATTAGTGATATGGTGTGACTAAAAAAAGTAGTCAGAGAATAAATATTCTCTCCTACTTGAGGATAGCTGATGCTATGGCAGATGCCATTTCCTTGGGATAAATCAGAAAGGAAGGAGCTATAACCATGTAGTTCTATTAAAATAATAGAAATGTACAAATTATCACTGCCCACAAAATCATACTTTTATACTAATCATCTTCTTCTAAGGTAGTAAAAGACAATACACAGATGCATATTTTGGTAATTTTTGTAGTATCTTGGATTTATAATCCCATTACAATCATTAATTCTTACTTGGTCAGAAAACCATTATTGTAACTCCATATAAGCATTTGTAGAATTTACCAGATATAATAATGAAAACAATAATGATCATGTTACAATATATTATGGGCATGCTATGACTCAAGCACTGTGCTGAGAGCTTTTAGATACATGACCTCGTTTACCACCATCCCCCTCATGAAATTATCCTTATTTTATAGATGAAGAAGTTGACTTTTAAGGTCACTGAGCTAGAAAATGGTATAGGCAGAACTTAAACTTTTGACTCTAAAGTCTATGTGCTAGTTATTGAAAACCACATTTGTATATTAATTTTGAACATTTTAGGTATTTTTAAAGTTTATACTGTTGTTAAATTGTTCGAGTTAAAGAAAAATAGCTTTTCTATATGTGATGTCAATTAAATATCACTTATATTGCTTATAATCTCTTTTTATTCTCCAATGGCTGATTTTTTAAACAACCAGAAAAAGGCTGATTTCAACCTAGAGTATTAGTAATGCAATAATTCCCTAAATGTTTTCATAGTCTAAGTATCTAAAGTTCCATATGCCTATCTTTCTGTTTGAGACTGTCAGAACTGCAAGTCAAATTAAGACAATTAAACTTATATTACATAACAGATACTGAGGCATATAAACACTAAATCATGCCTGAAAATGTAGAATGATAAAATATCAAGTAAGAAAACTTCAAGCCTCAAAAGGCCTTTGTTTACAGTTCAACAATATTCCTCCAAGACAATGCAATACACTACAGCAAGGAGGAATACATGAGGCAGAAGTTGTTGACATATGGGGTATGCATAGAACTTCTGGTTAATGGAAGTTCCAAGATGTATAAATAAAAAATGATGTGTGAGTTGCTGGAAAAAACTGTAAGGCAAGTCAATTTTTTAATTAAAAAATTATGTAGCATAAACAATGCTAATGAGCCAAAAGTCCCATGAGATTAGGACTGTATCTGCTTCATTTTAACATTCCATTCACTTTTCATAAATGTACATCCACTCACTTGAAACACTTCAAGCAGAACCTTTTGTAATATAGAGTTTTGAAGATTTTCTTTGTTCTCATTTTTAATATTAATAGTTCACCACTTTCTTCTCAAGTTGTCAACTTGACGACACATGGCATTTTTTTAAATCCCTAAAATCCTTAAATGAATCACCATAAATAAATACCTGGAAGTTCTTCGTAAATTTCATCATCATTTGGCAGGCTCCTTGTTGGCGAACTGCCTGGGAGAGGATGATCAACATCATCGTACAGCTCTCCTCTCTCCTCATCATCCTCAGGAATAACATCAGACCCCATATCTACAAAACATGTTTCAGGAAATAAAACTTTAAAGAATGCAAAAGTGATTTTCCAAACCTTATTACCTAAATTAATGCAGCCCTACAGAGTCACAATATTGTTATATGTTACATCCTTAACTTGAACATTTTAGAAATTGATTGATGTATAAATATGTGAATTTAAAAGTTACTAAATGGTACTTGCAGAAAAGATGCTTTTATTAATCTGAAGTGAATGGTATGTATTACCAGTCATGTCCTGCCAGTCATTTCTCACAGAAGTCAATAAACTTCTGTATATGAAACTCCAACTTATTCAGTTATTCAGTACTCAAAGACTGTGATACCTTGTTCAATGGGTTGCTCTTACCTTGTAACACAAATTTCAGCTGCTGCACCCATTCTTCGGCATCTTTGGGAGAAGCTGCTGTGAACTAAGGAAAAACAAGCAATAGCAATAAAAAAAATCACCATAGTAATGAAAAGTATGTTGCCTCCTTTTCATTTCTATAAGACCATTAGTAATTCTTTTCATGTCTAGTACTACTTTTCTTGCAAGGATGCTTCTTATAATGTACAGTTAATTTTGACAAATTTATGTAATTGAAGCAGAGGATGATGGATTTGAAACTCTGATCAGCAGCTGGCAGCTGTGCAAGAAAAAAAGCTGCTTCTCTTCATCAATGTCAAAGACAGAACTGATGAACAAAATTTGCCCTTGACAATTAGAAGACACCCATGAATTTCTTTAGACTGCTGGGTACAGCTTTCTTAAAAATGTTCTTGTCAGATTCCAACACACTAACTGACAACTTAATTAACTGGCTTTCAACTGCAATCTCAGATATTTAAAACTTATTAAACACACATTCCATATTGATGCTAGCTGATAGCTCTTGACTTGCAGAGCTGATACGTGTCTTTACCTTCATTTTCTCCCACAACTCTAAGCAATACAATATGCATTAACACTCTGATATTTTTCTTTTGATAATTTCACTCTTTCTGCCATGTAATTATTTTAAAAAATCACTCAGTTCTATTAAAATAGGTATAAAATGCAACATGTGAAGTAATTGATAAATTACATATTCTCCTGTTCTCTTTCAAGATATCACTTGAACTAATCTGAATTTTTTTAAAAAAATTTATTTCCTCTTATATGAATCTTTAATGTTTAAAACCCAGTGTTCTATTATTATTATTAACATGTCAGGAAGAGTTGTTTTAACAAAATGTTAATGTCCTCAACAATGAAATCAGGAAGTCTTATCAACTTAATTTCAAGGCAACATAAAAACTCCAACCTGATAGATACGTTTATCAGGAGCAGAGATTTCAAAACAGCAATCTTTCTTTCCATCCTTCCTAAGAGTGTTATTCATCCTGACATTGTAGCCGTCTATTGCAAATTCACCTTTCTGCTGTTTGTCTGTTTAAGATGAAACAAAAGTTAGAATTTCATTTACTATAGTGAATATAAATGTCTAGTTGATTAACTTTTATTTAGATTTTTTGATAAATTCTTGGAAAGAATATTTGTGGTCACACTGCTTTCATAGTATAATGCTTAAGTAACATTTCTAGCTTTCGCTTTTAATTTTAGAGGTATTTGGAATGGTTGAGTTTAAAAAGGACATCTTAGGGAACCAGAAGAAGATGTCTGTAGACAGTGGTCTTATTCAAAAGGAAGCAAGCAAATATGACAATTTCATGTAGGGAAAAGCCAAGATTGGAACTCAGAACTTACTAGACAAGCCCACTACAAATCCATGGCTCTTTCAGACTTAGTACACCAGTGGGAAAACTTGTCTAGTTGAAAACTTGCTGGGCTTTTATTTACTATTAACTCTTTTGATCACCACCCTCCAATTCCCCCCACCCCCCAAAGCTTCTAAAACATACCTTTTCTGTTTTAGAAAAAAACCCTAACTTGGAACAAATCAAATTCTCATTTTAAAAAGCAAAGCAAAACAAAACTACTAATTATAAAAAGATGTGAGGGAAACAAATATTTGAATGGAGAGGAGGGATGAAGCGAGTACAGAAGCATTTCTTACCAAAACAAAAGTAGGTTTCATAACCAGTCAGTGAACAGTTAAACTAGTAAAGCATATTTGAATCCCATATGATGAAAAGTCAAAAGAAAAAATGACTTCAGTTTTAGCCAGATATTACTATAAAGACAAATAAAGTAGGAATACAACAAAGGATTTAATACTGAAACTGAAAATAAAATTAGTCACCTTTCCCACTTTATCCAGTTATATGATATTGAGAGAAAAGAGGCACTGCTATAGGATTACTTTCTAGGGTAATGTACAATATTAAAATCCTGAATAAGGACAACTGTCACTTTCACTGAGCTCAGAGGAAATACAGAAATACTCTCATATCATACGGTACAGGGCTCTCTCAGCTTACGGCACCAGTAAAATATGTATCTCCTTTTCTTAAGTATACTAATATAATGCCTGAAGTAAGAAGCATTTTCAAAAGGTCACTGAGATCATATTTTGTTCAAAACATCAAAGGAAAAAAAGATATCTAAATCAGTAACTCCTGACTTAAATCTGGAGATTCTAATCATACTTACATAATTTACATCCCTTTAGATAATTGAAAAGCAATTCAAATTCAAAAATTTGAAGTTTGCTTTGTAGAAAAAGTCTGCATTAAACTCTATGAGGTGAAAACTATAAAAATCAGAGTAAAGCATTTCCCAAAGCATGTTTTATTCGATATTAACAGGTTTCTATGACCCAATAAATTTGGGAAATGCTGAATTAAACAAAGTTATACAGGTTTTGTTAGTCCAGGCCTTCTTGAGGCCCTTAATATACTTATATATTGTTCAAATTTCTATGAGAAAAGTTTAGTATGCAGCATTTCCCAAAATTATCAATGGACCCCTTTATTCACAGAGTATTTTATGGAACCAGTACTCCCAGAACATAATTTGCAAAATGCCTAACTAGAAAAATACTATTGGGGAAAGGGTATTAAAATAATAATTATTGGTTAAGTACTGTTGGTTCTTCTGAAATTCTCAAAGAAAAATAAATCATTTATTCACTCATTCAACAAATGCATACTGAGCACTTAAAACAAGCAAGAGAGCATTACAAGCATGTGAGACAAAAGCTAGCAACACTGTACCAGACCTTCCCTCCTTCCCACTGAAACACACACAGCCAACACTTGCCCACACGCTGGATGGAAATATAAGTGCTCCTGGAATATTAGTCAATGATCTGCCGCAATGAAAAAGGATTTACTTTTCGCTATTAAAAAAATGGAAGTTGCTGGAAGCAAAATATCAAAGACTTAGAAGACAGTTCTGAGACATTTCCTTAAACTTCCCAGGGAGTGGGTGGGGGGGGGGGGGGGACATAGGATTTTTCAAGGACCAGTTGGAGGAAAGAGGCTCCAGGACCGCACAGTCTCAATCACTCTACTCACCTAGTCCATCTGATCGAAAGTCCAGGCTTCCCACTCCAACCTGGGTCTAAAATTCTTAGCAATATAACATGAGTGGGGATGGAAAAGCACATGGAGTGGGAGTTAAAGCACATGGAGTGGGAGTTTAAGTCTGGACTGAGTTTAGAAGAGCTGTGATGAGCAGGATACCTTCTTGTGCTAGATTGTTTTTAGACAACCCCCACCCAAAAATATGCTACGGGCCATGTATCAAATGTTCTGCTAGAGTATAAGAGGAGGACATGAGCAACCTCTAATCAGATGAGCCAGAGAAAAGTCACTAACCCAACTGAGAGGTAAGCATCCCGTATTATAGAGACTAGAATATCTATTATAGTATATCCTTGGCCAAGGATAAATAAAAGAGGAAAAATCAACAAATGAAGACAGGTGTTATAAAAATGTTACATAATACAAAACCATAACACAGCACTGAAGATGGAGAAAGCAAGCACAAATAAGAAACAGTAGCAAACTTTAGACAATTGCTTTGCATCTTTTATAAAGTTAAAAAAGATTCTGAATAAAATGAAATAATGTAATATAAGATAAAAGAGGAATGATTGAGACATGGAAATAGGAATGGAGCTGGTAAAATAGGGGGAAAATGCTGTGTAAGGGAATAGAAAACGCAGCAGCCAAATTCATAATGTATTAAGGTGAAAAAATTTGAAAATTGTGAACACTGTTGAAAAATAAGATCAGGTATATGTTTTAAAAACTTCTTCAGTAGGTAGGGGGAAAAAAGAATAAGGGGAAAGATGAACAAAGGGAATATGATGAACACAGAAGACTGACAAAAATACAACATAAGAGTAATGGGTGTTCCAGAAGAAGGGTAGCATATAAAACAGTGCCAATAATCAAAGATACAACAGAAGAAAATTACACTCCATCAAAGAAAGACTTAAGTCTACAGAACAAAAAGTGTTGCTTAAACAAGTAAAAATAATAAGAAACTAATACCTAGACTTAGTCAGCTGATTATTGAGTATTTGAGGATAAATAATTATATAAATCAAATAAATAAAACCCCATGGACTGAAGAGCATGGTAGGCTGCAATCCATGGGGTCGCAAAGAGTCAGACATGACTGAGCGACTTCACTTCACTTAATCATATAAATATCCAAGGGGGGGGGGGGCGGCGGTAGGAGCATGATAACAGAAAATGAAGAAAGATTCTTAACTCTTTCTCAGCTTTTTCAAATCCTTAACAATAAAGTAGCCATATTTCCAATTAGTCAACATGAGTTAGGAAGTTCAAGACACAAAGTGGGCAGACAAGGCTATGCTAAGACTCCACTCTTCTCCATTTACATTAGCATCTCTTCAAGACAGAGAAAAAAAAGAAAACCTTACCATCATATGGCACCACAGCAATTTACATATAGGCTAGTTCCACAGTACTTTCTGAGACAGTTTCAAAGATACTTGTTAACTTAAAAATAGTTATATGCCAATCAAATAGGAAGCAAGGGTGTAGAAGTTCATTTATACATAACTGTAATAGACTAATCAGATATTTTACCTAAGTAAACTTCCCAACTAGCAGAAGTTTTAGTTTAGCACTTAAAAGTGCCAAAACTTCAAAAACTGTTGGATTTTGTAATGGAAATCATCTTGAAATATATGACAATTCTGTTAAACATAATTTAACATTTTCTTGATGATCTAGTAATACTAATTTGAGTATTAGTTTATATAGTATGTTACAATATGTTCATGCCCCTAGGATTTTTGAGGTGTCTCTCCTGCTATTAAATTTCTCTCAGCTTCTGTTTCACACTTTAACCTCACCTGTATTATGCTGTTCAAATTTAATGTCTACAGAACTAAAGACTGCCAGGAGAAACTAGGTAACAAAATCTATTAAATTGGTAACAATTTAATTGTTACTTAAAATTGGTAACAATTCTAAAACAGTCGGTTCAAAGTAAAAAAGCAGTTGGCTTTGATCTCTTACAATACAAAATGCATGATGTTAATGATAGCTATTTCCTCCTACTTCTTCACTGACTTTTAGGTTTACAGCTGTGTTCTGGTTGGGGCAGGGGGGAGTGGCGGTGTGTGGTTAAGGGCCAAAAAGACATATCATATTTCCTGAGCTCCTCCTATATGCCAGAAATTTAATATAGCTTATCTCCTATATATCTTGAAATAATTCCAAGACAGAGAAGGTGTTTATTATATCCCCAGCACTGATGAAGGGGGGGAAAAAAACCTTAAAATAACCAACTTGTTCTCAGCCACACAACCAAAGCAGTAAAATCCAGGACTGTAACGTAAGTCTGATTCCAAAACCTTGCTTTTTCAACCATTTCACACTGTCTCCTCGAAAGTGTTTCTCAAAACATATTTCAAGAATTCCCTATCGTAAAATCGTCTCAGATGCCTGCTAAAAATGTAGAAGTGGCTACCACTCTGCACCTCCTGTACAGGTTTCCCGGGGTGGGGGGGTATGCCCAGGAAAGCGAGTTTTTAGCAAACAACCCAGGTAACTTCTGCTACACGTTAGTGTTTGCAAAACCACTGTTGGCGGAGATATAATTTATGAAGGCTCAGCTGATATGATAAGTGTTACAGCTTGCATTTCCTCCTGCAACATGCGTCAGCTTTCTCAGGCTTGCTTTGCCCCTCTCTTAAACAGCCATGATGGTTGTGCTCTAAATTCTGTTCTTTTCCTGCTTTACGGTCCTCACTGGGCAACCCCACCCAATCCCAGGGATTAAATTCCTATCAATATGCTTGTGACTCATAATTCTCTATTTTTAGCCCAGCTTCAGAACTGAATATCCAAATCTTCACCTTCTCTCCATGTTTTATCTCTTGAATGTCCTATAGGCACAATGTATATACCGTGCCCACAACAGAGATCATCTTATCCTCATTCATGCTTTACTTGTGATCTTTCCTTTTGTGTCCTCCTACTCCATAAGCAGTACCTCCATCA